ATATGCCAGATTATGCTATAGTAACATCCCTAGTTCTCTGATTTTAAAAAACAAGTTATTATTCATACTAAATTCTCTTTCTGTGTTAGAAGGAAAACTTTACTGTGGGTTTTTTTTTTTTTTTTTAAATTCCGTGATCCAGGATGACAGCTGCTTTAACATCTGGAATATCATAGTCTTAATGGCCGAGAAGAGTCTTGGAGGGTCTCACACTTGTCATTTCTTTGGCCAGTGCATGTCACGTGGCCATATCTGATTTCGAGAAGAAGAGTGGCTAACAAAGTACATGGAGCTAAACAGCAGAGATTAGTTGTATTATGGCATCCAATAAAGGTATTCCAGAGGTCTGTTCTCATTTGAGGGTCTTGGATGCCCTAAATAGGCACTTTATCACACAAGTAAGTAGCATCATTTGATTTTGGGCAACTCAGGTGAATAAAATTAGGACGTGGTTAGACACTAATAGCTGACTGCTCTGATCTGAGTCAAACTTTCTACAAATTAGAGTTGACTTGTGAGCAATTGCCTCAAAGATGATAGATTCCTACATAAAAAGTTAAAGTTGTTGTGGGGCACAGTGGTTCACACCTGTAATCCTAGAGGCTTGGGAGGCTGAGGCAGGAGGATCTCTAGTTCAAAGTCAGCCTCAGCAAAAGCAAGGCACTAAATAACTCATTGAGACCCTGTCTCTAAATAAAATACAAAATAGGGCTGGGGATGTGCTTCAGTGGTTGAGTGCTCCTGAGTTCAAATCCAAGTACTCCTCCAACCAAAAAAAAAAGAAGTTGTCCATTATAATGACTATTGTGAAGATAGTTCATAGATTTTGCTGAAGTGCTATTTTGTGTAGTTTTAACACTCATCTGCTCCACTGAATCTGTAAAATAGATATATATATATATATATAGCATATATATAGCATAAATGAGCAGGTATGTCAAAAGGTTTGGAATGAGTTTTTCCTTCCTTGATAAATTACCCACAGGTGAGATTTACCAAATGACTGGAAAACCTTGTTTTATGACTTTTCCTGGCTCAGCTACCCAGGAAGAAATGTCTGTCCAGTGTAAATGTACTTACTATTTCTCCTGTGAATGCCTCACTTTCTACTCTACCAACCCATGTCAGGAACCTTGAAATCCCAACTCAAAACTCAAATCTGCAAGTCTTCCTCAGCTACTCCACTCAAGTCTGCAGATGAGAAATGTGATTGATGAATACTTTATTTTTATTCAAGACTTTCTTGGACCATCAATATTTGATTATTTTTAAAAATATAACAAAAAAATGTATGAGCTTAAGATCTTTTATGGAAAATTTTAAATATTTGGAAATAGAATAGTATAATGGGCCTCCAAATACTGATGATTACTTTAAATAGAATTATTGTTCAATTTTACAGCCCTACAATGAGGATATTGTCTTTATTTCACACATTATGTGGAAGAGCAGTGACTTGCCCCAGGTACCATAGGAAGCAAATGGCAGAAAGGAATTCAGGTCCAGGAATGTTTGTCTTCCTGTTATTCTGGCTACCCCTACATTTGGTGACATTGTTAGTATGAAAGTTTCTGTTTCTTAAGTGTTTTTACGCACAAATGCCATTTTAATTATTTTTTTAATATTTATTTTTTAGAAGCAGTTGAACACAATATCTTATTTATTTATATGTGGTGCTGAGGATCAAACCCAGGTCCTCGAACGTGCTAGAGTGCTAGACAAGCGCTGGTGACGAGTTCTTGCTTCCCCAAATGCTGAAGTATAACACCAGAGAAGCACGCAGAGGCAAGTGTAGAGTGGAAAGTGGAAGCCTTTATTAAAGGATAGCAGAAAAGATTTCCTCCTGGAGGAAGAAGGAGACCCTCGAAAGGTGGAATCTGAGGGCTAGGGATATAGCTCAGTTCGTAGAGTGTTTGCCATGCATGTACAAGGCCCTGGGTTCAATCACCAGCACCAAAAAAACAAAAAAAAACAAAAAACAAAAGTGGAATCTGTATTATATCTTAGGTCTTCTTTTAGTCCTCCCACGTGGGAATGCCAAAAAGTGGGAGAGAAGTGGACTGATGGGGCCGGGGGACTGATGGTTTGATTAGTACCTCCCTGTTTGCTGGGAGGTACTTCATTAACAGTTCTTTAGGATGGGTTCTGGGCCTTGGGGACATTAATTTTTCAATTTTCCCGGCTGTTGTTCTGGTTTCCTGGACTCCATTCTCGATAATGGTCTCCATTTTCTTTATCTTACTCAATGTCAGACCCAATTTACCTAACTACACTAACTACCTATTTTAAAATCTGGCTTCACTTGTCCCCATGCCAATTCAATAACAAGGACATGGTTTTGAGAAAAAGGAAAAAGAAGTTTTATTGCTTTGCTAGCAAAGGAGAAACACAGGGGACTCCTGTTCCAGAGGCTGTGATTCTGCTCATCAGGGAAAACTGAGGACTTTTAAAGGAGCTATTCAAAGGGTACTTTCCAGGTGTGCTCTGGTAGGGGGTCCTAGGGACCCCTAATGGCGTGTTAGAATTCACTTGTTAATTTGGGAGACATTCTCTTCCCAGATCCTCTGGCAGACATCTGCTTCCTGTGGAGCACAGGTAACTCAAGGTAATCTTGTTCCCCGCCCCCAGGTTAGGGAGAGGGAGAGGAAAAGAACTTGTCTTTTAAAACTAAGCCTCAGAGCATATATTCAGAGTTTATATTCCAAAGATGAAGTGGACCATTGTTACAACCTGAAATAGTTATGATGTATTTCTTGGGGTGCTATGATGTATTCTTACAATATACTAAAAGAGTAAAAAGCCTTGCTTAGAGAAAACTTTTTTTGGTAGGTTACTTAATACACCCCCAAGTTTGTATACATATTTTACTATTTCCTGTGTTGATATTTTCCTTTTTATATAAACAATACAAAGCATAATCAGTTCTGGTTTCTAATATTTTATAGGAATGAATTAAAATGTTTAGAATCATGTTATGAAACCCTGCTTCCCAGAAAGTTCTACTTTCCCAACAGGGGACTTGCACCTGAATCTTGGTTTCCAAAGTTTTTATTGGCGCTCAGCATGTAGGCAATAGACCATATGAATGAATGGTTTGATTGTTTTGTGTTTGACTTCCCTCTTGTGCTTTCACTCAGAAAAGTTGTTGCTCCTTTCATTCCCAGGTTAAGAACAGCACCTGGCAGCGCTCTGCGCTTGTGGCAGAGCTCAATGCTCCCTTGACTCCTCAGATAGCCTTCACTGCCAGGGAAGACAAGCCATCTCCTTACCCAATCAATCCCTACTGCTTAATAAAGTGGCTTTTCCCTCATTATCTCCACTAATTCTAGACCCTCTCCTTTCTGACATCTATAAATTTATAGGAGGAAACTGAGGAAGTTAATCACTCTGCTAAGTGGGTTTTATATGTGGTGACTGTTAGGACAAATGATGCACACACTTGATGGAGACGGCAAGCAAACCTCGGATCAGCAAGCTTTTCTTTATACAGAGTCAGTTGAATAAAGAGTCAGTTGGTGGAAACTAGCACTGCGCACTCTGGGGCAGAAAATGGGGCAGGGCTGAAGCAAGGGTCTGGGTTATACAGGTTTCATTTAGGGTGGGCCAGGAAGGCAATTCCTGGGGTTCATTGTATTGGGGTCAGGTGCCAATCAAGTGCAAGTTCCTTTTGTGTTCCTCAGCTTTGGCTTCGGCCTGGTATTTTAAATGACAGAAGCTTAGGGAAAATTACTAGTGTGCCTGGCCACACGGCTTATACATCAAAGGAGTTAGACGTATTTTCCATATCCTTCAGTAACTGATACACCAGACATCTTTTTTTTTGGTGGTGGTGGTGGGGTACTGGCAATTGATCACAGGGTTTCACACATGCTAGGTAAGTGTGCTACCATTGAGGTCCGGTCTATTTATTTATTTTTGGTACCCGGGATTGCACTCAGGAGCACTCAACCACTCAGTCACATCCCCAGCCCTATTTTGTATTTATTTAGAGACCGGTCTCACTGAGTTGCTTAGTGCTTCACCTTTGCTGAAGCTGGCTTTGAACTGGCAATCTTCATGCTCAACCTCCTGATCCACTGATATTACAAGACATGTACCCACTCCCCCGCAGGTTTATTTATTTTGAGACAAGGGTCTATTGCTAGGTTGCCCAATTTGGCTTCCAACTCGCCATCCTCGTGCCTCAGCCTCCTTAGTAGCTGAGATTACTAGTGTGCCTGGCCACACGGCTTACTGCATCAAAGGAGTTTGTAATCAATTACTGCTTGTCCCATCACTTCTTGCTTGATGGTGGAATGAAGAATATGGCAATTCTAAAGAGGCATAGATGTAAAAACTTAAAATATGATGAGACTTTATCACATGACCCTAGGTCTGAGGATCCCAACACCTAGTATATGAATATTCCCATTTTGTTTGCAGATGGAGATTTCTCCTTACCCATCCGTTAAGAAACCAGTACAGACCAAGTCCCTTAACATGGTGTGGGAAGCCTACAGCACAACGAGGCATTAACAAACCCTTTTCACAAACAGCTTTTTAAAAAGCTGTCTCTGGAACGAAACTGTTGGGTTCAAATCCTGATAATCATTTATTAATCCTAAATTGTAGAAATGAGGTGGGTGGATGTTCCGACATCACAGAACTGGGGTGAGAATCAATCCAAAAGAATCAATCCCTTTTAGGACCCTCCTATCCAGCGTCCGCTCACAGGAAAACCCCAGCTCAGACCGCTGGCACGGCCTGGTCCACATCGCGCAAGCGCAGCCTGGCCTCTTGGGATCCCTCCCTAAGCTCGCGTGTGCTAGTCGTCGGCGGGAGACTGGGTCTCGCGATGCGTGTGTGCGTGCGTGTGCGTGCGCGGTCCTCGCGAGCTCGCGCACGCCGCTTCTCGCAATACGGGGCTGTGGCGGCCTCTTCCTCCTGGGTCCGGGGCTGCTCGGTGCGCGGTGCCTGCGGCGGGAGCTGGACGCCGCTTTTGCCTCGCCGCCGCCGTCACCAACATCAGTGCCTGTCTCTCTGAATCCTTCCCTGCCCCGTGCAGAGTCGGCGGCTGGGGAGAAAGCGACGCCAGTGTGAGGTTCCCAGCCGATGGGCAGCCCCTGGACTCGCTGAGGGGCCGGGCTTCGAGTGGCCGAGGTAGGTGGGTGCGCGGCTTTTCCAGCTGGGGGAGCGGCGGCGGGGCTGCGGCGCCCGCGGGGAACGCGAGGACCGCGCCTGGTAGTTAGTGAGGAGAGCGCTCCGACCCGCCCCTGCCAGGGGCTCTGGCCTGACCCAGAGAGAGCGCAGGACGCGGACGTAGCCTGCCTTCCCGGTGTGGAGCCATCACGGGAGAAATTCCTGCGGCGGGGCGGGGGAGGGCTCACCCTTTCTTTTCTTTGAGAGGTCAAAACCAGCAGTCCTCCCTCCGCCTTTTAAATAAGAGGCTGATTGGCGTCTAGACGAAGTGGCCTGGGTACTTCGACGCTTGCAGAACTCAAGAGTGGACAGACAGCAGGTTACGAATTTTGATGTTGGGAGGGTACACAGCCTTCTCTTTACTGTGGGCGCCTATCTTCTGCAAACTTGTTATTGCAAATACATTAATAATCGCTTTTGGACACACAACTGGTGATACATTTTCGAACGCCTTATGGATTCTGGCACTGAGGAAACTGCGCCGTAGGGCAAAGGGAGTGGAAAGAAGACAAAGGAGGCCGTTATTTATGTTCTGTCCTGGTATCAAAACTTTCCATGGTAGAGCAGGGTATGTAGCAACTGGCTTTTGTTGGATGGACTTTCAGCGTGATTGAGATGGGGTACAAACGAACACTTTATTTAGATTTATAAAATCGTACGTGGTGATATGTAATTATTAGCCAAATGTTCTTAAGTGTATATGTCTGAGAATTGTGATGTTATCTTTGGAGTAGAGCAGAACTTGGGTTTTTTGAAAGGAAAGGTTTCTTCATCTTTAGAAAGCCCATGAATGCCTTTGAAATTACTAAAAATAGTTACAGTTCTTTATGTTGGCAGTAATGACTGCCACGTTCAAGATAAGGGAAAAGAATTCTTTTACCAAAAAAACAGCTCACTGAAAAGAGTTGGAGAGTTAAAAATACACAGTAAAAATCGTCAGGAACATCAAGTTTTAGGTTATCCTTTAAAAATTCGAATTTAATCATGGTCAAAATATATTGAAGCTCTTAGTTGACCCCCCTACCTTCAGTGAATCATTTTAAAAGATATTCTTTAACCTTTAGTGGTCAACACAGTGGCTTCCATTCACTCCACACTTTTTAAAAATGTAGTAGTCAATCTCAACTTTCTTAAGAATTGTGCATGCATACATTCAAAGAAAGAATCAAGAATAGTTAGCTGGCACTCCCTGGAGCGGAAGAAGGGAGAGCAATATGAAATGCAAGGTTAATGCTTATGTATTATGCAGATGCTGCATACAGGCATATATACCTGCATATAAATACATATGATGGTTCTGCACACAAGGATCTGATAGTGCTGATTCATATCTTAATAAGGTTGAAGTCTGAAAATTGGATTGTTTTTAGCTAATTCCTTTTTTAGTTAACTATTTACAGGAATAATTGTCATTAAGTTTCTTGTTTAGTTCCTTAGTTATTGGATAAATAATACTTATTTTTTGACCAGTGGTAGGGAAGGAAAAACAGAAAATTCACACTTCAGAAGTATTCTTTATTCAGTGTGTCATTGTTACCCGTTGGAATATACAGCTGTACTCCTGTCCATTTTGTGTCCTAGTACTTAGAATACTGTCTTGCATGGAGTTGGCCCTCTATAAATGTGATCTATGTCAAAAGCAAAATAACACAATACAAACTGAAGGCATAAATTCCTGGAGAAGATTAAAGGAATCAGAAATGTGTGCTTTTTTTGTTTTTTAATTGTACATTTGAGTTTTTATTTTTTTCTCAGTGTAGTTTGGTATCTGAGTAAAGGATATGTGGCATCATTTTTTCTTCTAAAAGCCTAACATAATATAAGCTGAGACTATATATCCTGAGTGCTGGCAGATTGTGAATGTTGTCATATATTAAGATAAAATGAGGTAAAGGAAGTAAGGTCCAGAGGGAAAGTTTTGGTAAGGTTAGTGATACAAATTAAAAAGGAAAGACTATAAAACATTGAAACAGATTATAGACAGATTATTTTCTTCCTTAAGTGGCAGTCTCACCTGTGGGAGAAAGAACTTGTACACTTTTCTTCCTCTTTTTATGAGAATGTTCTAACAGGATGATTTCTGGTTTTGGGGGGAATGGTAATTGTTTTCATTTCCTTTATTTATTTTTTTACAGAGCTGGAGATCAAACCCAGGGCCTCACCCATGCTGTGCAAGCACTCTACCATTGAACTATACCCTAAGCCCAATTTTCAAATAATAAAGTTGAAAAGGGGTTTACTTTTCCTCTGATAGTCCTTTCACAGGTCTCTGGGTTTCTCCTTGTATTTGCATATGATCTCTAGTCTAACTTTATGGGCAAAAAAACGGTTATTTTGATTCCTATTTAATTCTTGTATCTATTTCTCAATTAGTGTATGTTGAGGAATGTGTGTAGTCTTTTTTTTCCCATTTGGAAGGGAAATCTATCTGTTTTTATATGTTACCAACAGAAAGGTTTGTGGATATTTGTCCTGGAAGTGGCTAAAGAGATGTATAAAAAATAGGAATATTTTAAGTTGAGTCTTATGATTTCATTGTAATATAGCTGAGTGATTCCCGTGGTGGGGAATGATTTTGCCCTCCAGGGAACATTTGACAATATCTGGAGAAATTTTCGGTTGTCACAAATTTGGGGAGTGGGGAGAAAGGAAGGTGTTGCTACTGACATCTAGTGGGTGTAGACCAGGGATGCTTTTTAACATCTTATAGTGCACAGGACAGACCCCACAACAATTTTCTTACCCAAATGAGTGTTGCTATTGAAAAACCTGCATACAAATATATATGATTTCTGTACTGTAAATTGTTTGTTCAGAATTCGGATCATCTAAATTCATATTTGACTAAACCATTTCCCTATGTGTGACCCTGGCGGTTACTTAAAGTCTTTGCCTGTTTCTGTAAAAATAGGGAAAATAATGTAAGTTTCTCATAGGCATGTCCTGAGAATTAAATCACATAATGTGCAAAGTGCCAAGTTTACTGCTTGGCACATATCAAATGCTCAAAAACTAACTTTAGGTAAATGTATGTTTGGAACTTATTTTTAAGATCTATCATTTCTTACCTAATATTAGAATTGGAGCTGGTAATGTGATATTTAATAAGTAATTCTCCTTATATCTTTGGGAAGTGAGTGAAAAAAAATATTCTTTTTTAGTGATTGTGTTTGGCCCAGTCTTGTTTTATATTCCCAGGCTTATAAAGCTCTTGCCATAAACAAGTAGCTTCTCATTTTAAATATTTTTCCTTCATACTTAAGACGTTAAGTCAGTTGTCCAGCAGTTCTATATCTATTGATTCTCAGCAAGCATTTAGTAATCCAACAGTTCGATTCTGATTTGATTCTCAATTCCTTTTGCCTTTATAAACTACACTAAGTTTACAGTGAAATCAGTGGCAGTGACTCAGGAGGTTGAGGTAGGAGGATCACAAGTTCAGAGCCAGTCTGTACAACGTAGTGAGACCTTGTCTCATAATATAAAAAGGACTGGAGATGTAGCTCAGTGATAAAGTTCCCTTGGGTTCATTCTCTAATATAAAATAAATAGGTAAATAAAAATTAAAAGGGCTGAGGATGTAGCTCAATGGTAGAGCACCCCTGGATTTAGTACTCTACAAATCATCATTGTCATTACAATAAAATTTTAAAAATGAGTTTACAGTGGTTTTGGTTCACTATTTATGACCTCTGGTAGTAACTATTTTCATAACTGAGATGTTGATGCAGTTATACCCATATGAAGGGTGCAGGCAAACATTTAACAAATTGAAACTGGACCTTAATGTACATTTTGACTTTTTTCCTAAATCCAAATTAGAATCCATATCCTTATCTTTCTTACCTGTTGCAATGTAGTACCATAGTCTGTAAGGCTATGGCTATTTATGGCTGGCTTGTCATGGGGTGGTATTAATACTTTTTTTTTTTTTTAATAGTACCTGGGATTGAACCCAGGGGTGCTTAACTACTGAGCCATATCCCCAGTCCTTTATATTTTTTATTTTGAGACAGGGTCTCACCAAGTTGCTTAGGGCCTTGAAAAGTTGCTGGGGCTAGACACAATATCTTTATTTTATTTTTATGTGGTGCTGAGGATCAAACCCAGGACCTCACATATGCCAGGCCAACGTGCTACCACTTGAGCCACATCCCCAACCCAACAGAGATATGAAAAATTGTGATACATATGTGTATTAAGAATTATAATGCAAACAAAAAAGTACATGTATAATGGCATAAATTGGCGTGAACATACTTTATATACAGAGATACGAAAAATTGTGATCTATATGTGTAATAAGGATTGTAATGCATTCCACTGTTGTCGTGTATGAAAAAAAAGTTGCTGGGGCTGGCTTTGAATTTGTGATCCTTCTGCCTCAGCCTCCAGAGTCACTAGAATTACAGGCATGAGTTGTATGTGACTTAATACATTCCTTAAAAAAAAAAAAAAAAGTTGTCCATGGATTGATTGATTGATTGATTGATAGATAGATATGCAGTGCTGAGGATTGAACCCAGGGTCTCAAACATACCAGGCAAGCGCTTTACCACTGAGCCACAACTCCAGGCCCAATACATGTTTAGTATAGAGAAAGAAATCACATGGATATCCTCATAGTCAGAGACTTTAAACTGTTCAGGGCTCCTGTAAGGAAAGAAGATCCTCACAACACTTATCATCAAGGAAGAAAGCAGTGTTGCACATTGAAGATTTTGTCTTCAAAATAGTTTTTTTTTTTTTTTTAATGGTTGTTAACCATGTTTTTGTAGTATAAGTCTGTGTGTGTGTGTGTGTGTGTATTATAAACATATAAAATGTTCACTCATTTTAACTAATGGGAACCTTATTTTCCCTTTTGTGTTGGTACTGCCTTCTGTTTGGCTAGAGGATGTTTGAAGGGAGTATGTACCATGGGTCGAGAGAGATTATGTTCTTTGCTTGGCACATTCTGTCCTTTGTAAAGTGTAACATACACTCAGGGTTCTGTATAAATAATAAATTACAATAATGATGGAGTCTCTCTTGTGGAAACTGTGGTCAGGTTAGAAGTATACATGTTAGGAATATAATAAAAGGCCAAAGGGAGCCATTCTAAGAAAGTTAGGCAAAGTGAAAAAAAAGAATCAGATTAATGAAGAGTTCTTGGCATTATTATTATCCTTTTGGGGTTTAATAATCTAAAAGAAAAAAGCCTACAAAATGTAACATTTGTTTTCTGCTTATACCAGCTCCTAATCAGTGAATATTATGATTACTAAATTAGTATTATGATTGAGTTATCTTATATGACATTTGTCCTACCCGTGATTAAGTTGAGAAAAACAAGGATCTTTGAATCTTATGTGTTTGTTTATAAGTGGTCTAGAGTCCTGCCTGTCTGCCTAATTTTAGGTAGTCTACATAGTTGTTGGAAGACAGACTATTTTCCCACTGAATGCTGTCTGTCAGATATGTATTTGTGTATGTGTATTTATGCATATTTGTCTCTTATTTTTGGTAGAAAATGATGCATCCAGTTGCCAGCAGTAATCCAGCGTTCTGTGGGCCTGGCAAGCCTTCCTGCCTCAATGAAGATGCCATGAGAGCTGCTGATCAGTTTGACATATATTCCTCCCAGCAAAGCAAATACAGCCACACTGTCAGCCACAAACCAATGGTTTGTCAGAGGCAAGACCCATTAAATGAAACACACTTGCAGCCTACAAGTGGCAGAAGCATAGAGATAAAAGATGAACTAAAGAAAAAGAAAAATCTTAACCGATCTGGTAAGCGTGGCCGGCCTTCAGGAACCACCAAATCAGCAGGATACCGGACCAGCACAGGCAGACCCCTGGGAACTACCAAAGCGGCTGGATTTAAGACAAGTCCAGGCAGACCCTTGGGTACAACTAAAGCTGCGGGATACAAAGTCAGCCCAGGGAGACCTCCAGGTAGCATTAAAGCTCTATCCCGTCTTGCCGATCTTGGTTATGGCTGTGGCACTGCTGCTTTTCCTTATCCAATGATGCATGGCAGAGCAGTTCATGGGGTAGAGGAAACCAGCAGCGAAGTCAAGCCACCCAATGAATGAATGAGGCAGGAGAGGAGGGCCACATTTAGGAGATTGTGAATAATCCCAAAGCTTCATGGTTTTATTTTGTCATATAATTTTATATTCTGGACTTTCTAAATTTCTTTTTCTGTTGGATTTTTTCCCCCTGCTTTTGCTCAGAAGCTGCCATATGCTGGCTGACAGATCCATTCAGGGCATAGCAGTGGCACTGTATTTGTACATAGGTTTAAGCATAACACCTATCATTTTTTGTCTTTCTTTTAGGGTTATGATTATGTCTTCTGTTTTATTACTACTTTTGGGCCATTCTAATAGATGCTTTATATGCTAAACAACTGAAACCATTATATACCTATATTAGTTTGTGAAGTAAGCCTACAATATAATAAAGATAGTATATAAGGTATTTTAACTGGTGGAGCAAAAAAAGCAAACTAATAATTCAGGATTACTTGAGGTAATGGCTGTGTGAGTTTTTGTAACATTTTCATGAGAGTACACAGCTGTTTGTATGCTTTGGAATTTACATAGATTTCAGATGTTAAAAACTTATTTTTAATGTTCTGAGTTTAAGCAGCTTCTTATTTATTGATCTACATGGCATTAATTGATTTAACCATTATTCATAAAAGAATTCTTTAGTGTTTGCCTCTTAGCAGTGTTAGGTTATGTATTTTTAATTGCCTAAGAGCATATATACCAAACACTACAAACAATTCATATTTACAAAAAATTTAAACTATTTTATAAAAACTACACATTACATTTTTGGTGAAATACAATGCATTCTGAGAATAGCATTTTTAATATAATAGAAAAAAAACTTTCTTAAGGTCTGCATGTAGTTATAGTCACTATATTTTGATTTTCATATACTTGGTGGATTTTAAAGTATTATGTTTAAAAACATATTAGTAGTGCTCATTTCTTCGGAATTTTCTTAGTTTTTCTGAGAAGTTGTCCCATTGCATAGCACTTACTATGTTTTCAGGTTTATATTTACCAAAGGGCACAATTTGAGTGGTAGACTGTAAAATGGTATTAACAGAATGAAGTTTCCTGACTGTCAGAACCCAAATATTAAGAAATATAGAAATCCATCTATGCATGAAACATGTAAAAGAAAATTGTTGCTTAGTCTAATTAAAAATATTATTATGGCTCTAGTGAGACCACTTTCTCCAAAAGGATTCCCCGCCCCCGACCCAAATAATGTTTGCTTAAAGCAAAATAGAAAAAAGGAAGAAAGTGTTGGGCAAAATGTACCATTGAGGTAGAGGGAAATCTCTCCTCCCTTCTTTCTGAAAGTGATGTTCCTTATGAATATGCATTTTATTCATCATGAGTTTGTTCTAAAAAAATTTACAAACTTCAGATTTGAAAAAAATTCCACTGAACTTTAAAGATACAATGTTTGTACTTCCAATTTTAAATGCCTTTGAGATTAAAATGTAGATTTGCAGGACCCAGAAACTTAAAATAATTAAAAACTTAAAAGGGCACATAATGTGTTGGTTGGGCTTGCTCTCAGTTAATGAAAACTGATTGCAAATGGATGTCATGTTTCATACCTTTTTTATCAGGAAAAAAGCAGCAAGCCTTCAGGTGTTCCAGTGATGCCTGACACAATGAGCTGGACTTTATGCTGCTCTTTACAGTAAGAGGTGTTGCATTTTTTGTGGGGACTTTGTGCACTGGCGACTAAGACAGTGACCTCAACAATATTAGCTTTGCACAAACCATAGCAAACAATGTTGGATGACTACATAATTAATTGTAACATTCTGGCAGCTAAATTGCTACAAAAGTTTCTTCTTGCAGAAGCTTAGAATATAAAACTTTGAATAATTTACTCAGAACAGTATAACTTCTGACACACACAAATGCTTGCATCTTTATTCATGTGTTCATCTATCCAATTCTCTTCACTTAGCTGTTTCTCAAGATGATGTTCAGCAGTGGCTGCTTAGAAATACTTTCAAGCTAGTTCTTGAAGACAGTTTTTTTAATGTACACCATTGTTAAGGATTTGGTTGCATGTTAAGTCCATTAGACATTGCCCTTTCAGTTTCTTTTCATCTCTGATTTTGTTAAACATGCTCTTCCTTATATCCCCTGCCTTTTCCTGCATTCATTCCCTCTCACCCCAGCACATCTACTCAGTGGTGCTGTGCTGTGTGTCAGAAGATAAAAGCAGGTGTATTATTGTATAATGAATTTTGTATACATGTTTCTGAAATGGTGAAATCAGCTAAAGGAGGTATGTTTATAATAGTGTTTATTATCAGGAGCTATGTCCCAGGAAAAAAGGGGGACAAATGGCTATAGTTGTGAATGGATAACATCTTTTAGAAAGCCAAGTTTACTGTTCATGTGAACAGTTACCTGGACTATTAGATCTATATGCTGGAGAACATCTCCTGATTCCACTTAACTTTTCTCCTTGTGAACAGTTCACTGGTGCCATGCTGAAGAGAAAGACATATAAGTGATAACATGAATGAAGTCTTAAAATATAAAATATTTTTACTTCTATATAATCTAAAGACTACATCGTGCATCTTTTGTAACACTGTCTCTTGTCATGATAAACACTGAAATAGCATGTTAAACAGTTGCCTATACTTTTAATATAATCAGTTGGGGAAAACTGGCCTTTCCCCCCACTGTATGATTGTTCCTTCAAAGGTAAATTGCTGATTTTATACTGTGTAATTCTATTCTTCACAAAATAGGTTTCACTATTCTATGTTAAACTGTTGGTCAGAAAATGATCTGCTTTTCAAGTAAGTTTGCTTTACTCTTTTCTTTAAAAAATATTTTAACACGTCTTGTTTACTATTGTTATTAATAAGCTAACACAGATAAAATTTTCATTTTTTCACAGATGAAACCTTGCATAACTAATCTTTAGTATGGGATGATTTTGATACTATGTGGGGGTTTTGCACTGGATATTAAAAATATTGGCACAATGTATTGGAAGAAAATTAGTATCTTGTTTGATTTTCAATATTTGGGGACATTTTTAAAATCAGTGTTTCAATTAAACTATAAAAATTCTATATACATTTTAAAAGAAACATCTATCAAACTGTGTAAATTTACATATATTTTCATGAAATAAGAATAAAGTTTCTTTGAGTTAACAAGGGAAAAGAAGTCTGGATCCGTTAGGTTAAGGGTAATTCATCCAGTGTAAGAGTAACCACAGTGTATGAGCTAAAAAAAAAAAAATTAATAAATAATAAACTTCTTTATATTCTGTGAAGCTTTAAAAGAATAATTCAGGGGATACTGATTATAACTGCTACTCTGTTAGTCATTGTTCCCATATGCAGTAAAATTTTATGATCCTTTATAAATGTGTTTATAAAAGTGTTCACAATAGTTCAAAATATTTTTTTCCTTGGACAAAATAATTCCATGCTATTATGTTTTTGTTTTAGTATAGCTTAAGTATTTACTCTTAAACTCTAGAATATATCTAAATCTTTTCTTTGGTTTTTCCCTCTTCTTTCAAGTAGATAAATCTGTGCCCTCACATATAATGTATTTGATTTTTGGGAAATTTAATGCTATAGTAAATCCAGTGTGTGATTTAAAGTAATCAGACCACTTTGATTCTTTAAGTTTTTACAATTTCCTTTCCCACATAATTATGGAGAAAATAATTACCAATTACCTGATAATAAGCACGCTGTCCTCTGCTGTAAAAAGTCTGAATAGATACTGTGTATGTTTTTATGTCCATGAACTTGAGCTACTCGTGTGCAATTATGTGTATGGGAATGGAGTAGTGTTCATGATTTGTATCTACATCATCATATGGATGTATATTTATTAATAAAGTCATTACTTTAAAACCAACTATGTGTTGACTACTTTTATTATTTTTAGCATAGTACCTTTTCATGTAGAGTAATAATAAATAGTATACCTTTTTCATGATTGTGGATAGTGTATTTTTTTTTAATTTCACATTCTGAAATCTACCCCTCTAAACATTTTGTTTTTCTTAAAATGGTTATATATTTGTAATTTTAAATCCTTGAAAGTATGTTTACTTGTCTTTCCATTTTCTTCCAATTATTAAGCTACATCAGGCTAATATTCTAAGGCTTATATTTAAATCTAAACATTATTGATCCCTTTGGTTTAAAAAAATTCAGGTGGCGCATGCCTATAATCCCATTGACTTGGGAGTCTGAGGCAAGGTGATTGCAAGTTCAAAACCAGCCTCTGCAACTTAGTGAGGACCTCCCTAAGCAATTTGGCGATACCTTGTCTGTAAATAAAATATTTTTAAAAATGGGCTGGGGATGTGGCTCAATGGTTAAGCCCCTGTGGGTTTAATTCCCCCCCCCCCCCACCAGATTTTAAACATGGCTCATTGTATTCTAATTTTTTATGTTAACTTTAAAGAGACCAGCATGGGCATCTTTCATAATTGTCAAATATCTGAGATATTAAAAATATGCTTTCCCCTAATTATATGAACGTATATTTTTGTTTTTCCCATTTTCTCTGAAGCCCGCAGATTATCTAGAACAAAAGTTGGCAAACTACATCCCACTGTCTGTTTTTGTAAATAAACTTTTACTGAATATTTGTTACTTTTTAATTATTACTTTTCATTTTTTTTTTCGTTTTGTTTTTATGTGGTGCTGAGGATCAAACTCAGTGCCTCACATGTGTGAGGCAAGTGCTTTAGCTCTCAGCCCCAGCCCCAGCCCTGATGTTATGTGTTTACTGATCATCTGGGCTACTTTTGCATTACAGTAATGGAGTTAAGTTGTGACATAAAACCTGCAAAGCTTAAAATATTTACTATCTGCTCCTTTTCTTCAAGAAAAAAATCCCTTACGTAGAAAGATAAGTTGGAATAGAAAAGAGCAAATAAAATTTGAAGTTGAATTTCAAAAACCTACAAAAGAATTGATGGTGCATGCCTGTAATTCAAGCTACCCCAAAGGCTAAGACTGAAGGATCATACATAATCTTTCAAACATATCTTAGCAACACAGTACACTGTAGAATGCTGGTTATTTACTGTCATGATCAAGCATGGTGACTGGGAGCTGCATCTGGCTGGCTGCCACTGCCCAGCATCACAAGAGAGTATCATACCCTATCACTAGTCTGGGAAAAGATAAAAATTCAAAGTATAGTTTCTATTCAGTGCATTTAAGTTGACCCATCATAGATGGTGACTGTATACAAGACAATGGCATCTGTGAATGATGACAGTTTTACTTCTTTCTAAACTTTGCAATTTTAATTGCCTTTTATTCCCTCTTGCACTTGCTATAATCATCAATACAATGTTGAATAGAAATGGTGAAAGTGGATACCACTGCCATTTTCCTGATGTGAGAGGGAAAATGTTCACTCTTAACATTATTAAGCATTATTGTGTTAGCTGTACGTATATGGTAGATGTCTTCTAACAGATTGAGGAAGTTTTATTTATCTATTTTTGGTATGGGGGAGGTTGTTGAACCCAGGGGCCTTAACTGAGCCATGCCCTTTTTATATTCTATTTAGAGACTGGGTCTTGCTAAGTTGCTGAGGCTGTCTTTGAACTCTTGATCCTCCTGCCTCAGCATCCTGAGCCACTGGGATTACAGGCATACCCCACCATGCCTGGCCCCTTTTAAGTTTTTAGAGTTCTTTATCATGAATGCATGTTGGATTTTGTAAAATGCTTTTTCTGCATCTGTGCATTATGTCATTCATTTTGTGGTGTTCTACAAATGTGTATTCTACAGCTATGGTGTATTATATTAGTTGATGTTTGGATATTAACCCAGTCTTATATTTCTAATATATATGTGGCATAAAATTATTTTTATATATGTTGCTGAATTTGGTTGGTTGTTTTCTTTATTTTTCCTTCTTTGTTTTGTTGTTGTTTTTTTTTTGTTTTTGTTTTGAAGTGCTGGGAATGGAACACCCAGGGCCTCATGTATGCTGGGCAAGCACTCTACCATTGAGTTACACTCCAATCTGATTTGATAATACTTTCTTAGGGTATTTTGTCACATAAATATTTGAATCAGGATCCAAACATTGGTCCCAAATTATATTTAGTTGATATGTCTCTTAAGTCTCTTTTATGGATTCCATCTCTTTTTTTCCCCCTCCTCTTATTTATTGTTGATGAAATTGGGTAATTGTCTCCCAAATTCTGGATTTTGCTGACTGCAGTATTTATTTCTCTAACTTCTATAGTTCTGAAAACCTGTAGAGAGATCTAGAGATGTGATGAGATTCCAATTTTATTTTTTGTCGTCGTTGTTTTTGTTTTTTGGTACTGGGGATTGAATCCAGGGATGCTCTACCACTGAGCTATATCCCCAGCCCAGTTTATGGTTTGAGATAGAGTCTTAGCTAAGTTGCTGAGGCTGGCCTCAAACTTGCAATCCTCCTGACACAGCTTCCACATTGCTGGGATTACAGGTGTGCTCCATCGTGCCCAGCTTCAATTTGATTTATTGAGCAAGGGTTTTTCTTAGGTGATATTATATACTTCTGTTGCATCATGTTAGGTTGCCCATAATCACTGGTTGTCTCTTATTGTGATATTAAAATTGATCCGTGAGTCCAGGTATTCTTAGCCTTGTCCATGCATTTAAAAATTCTTCATCTTTTTCCTTAATAATTTTAGTAGCCATTGGTGATCTTGGCTTAGCTCCATTCTTTCATTAGAGGTTAGAAAATAACTTTTTAAAAAATTATTATTAGTTTTAGAATTATCTGCAAACTTTAGCAATGTATTGATTTAAAGAAAATTTTTTATTTTAATTAGTTATACATGACAGAAAATAACTTTAAATTCTATTGTTTCTTTAATAGCTCAAATACTTCTATATAAAAAGTTTCCCCTTGATCAAATATTTGGTATCCTGAAGTACACTTTGTGCAGGAAAGACAGATAAATGCCTGATTCTCTTTACCTACTAGTTTTCAGAATAATGAATTGGTTCTTCAGTATCTTCCAAAATTATTAAAAGTTTTTAATTTTAGTATGGACTCACAATTGTAATATGCAGTGCATTTCAGTTAATACTGAGATTTATCCATTTTGATGTTCAAATTGTCCCATCTTTGGTTAGTATGAGCTGGTTTGGTTCCTTGGTCAGACTGACATGACCCTCCTATTCTTTGATAGCATCCTTGCATTTTGGTTTGACAAGATGTCCCAACTAACAAAATGGCCTTTTAGATAGCAAGGCAATCTTGAACAATTTTTTTGAACTTTAGGATATGTGATTTTTTAGAATAATTTTGTAGAATTGCTATTTTACAAAATATTTATAAACTGAAGGAAACCTTAACAATAACACTATTATGTTTTAAAATTTTCTTGTAAATACAGGATTTTTTTTTTTTTTTGTACCAGGGATTGAACCCAGGGATGCTGAGTTGTTTAGGGCCTCAGCCTCGCAAGCCACTGGAATTACAGATGTGCGCTGCCATGCCTGGCTTTCACAAAGGGTCTTGCCAAGCTGCTGAGGGTCTTGCTAAATTGCTGAGGCATTTCCTGCTTTGATAAATTACCCTCTAAACTTTTTTTTCTCTCTCTGCTTTGCCCCTGCCATAGCAGCCTACCAATGAGAAGAGAAGTATTTGAGTAAACTTGTTCTTTTCATGGCATCTAGTAAAGTACTGTTTTTCTTAAAGTTGGTTTATATGAAGCTAGATTTTGTTGACCTAAGCCTTTGTGAAATGTTTGAACCCTGATTTTTTTTTAATATTTAATTTTTAGTTGTAGATGGACACAATATTTTATTTTTTACGTGGTGCTGAGAGTTGAACCCAGTTCCTTATGTTTGCTAGGCAAGCGCTCTACCACTGAGCCACAACCCCAGCCCGAACCCTGATTTTTGATAGATACTGAGTACTGGTAAAGCATTCTTCTAGGGCACTCTGGTCTATTTCAGTAACCTATTTGATTTCATCTTTCTAATTTGATATTTGAAATCTTTTTAATTTTGTTTCTATTCGTAGCAAAACACATTGAATCTGGATTTGAGTCCCTGCACAATTACTAGCATATTAACTTTGTCAAGTAGCTTTTTTCTTTTTAAGGAAAGAGAGTGGAGAGAAAGAAATGAGAAATAGGGCTGGGGATGTGGCTCAAGTGGTAGCGTGCTTGCCTGGCATGTGTGTGGCCCGAGTTTGATCCTGAGCACCACATACAAACAAAGATGTTGTGTCCGCCGAAAACTAAAAAAATAAATATTAAAATTCTCTCTCTCTCTTTAAAAAAGAAAAAGAAATGAGAAATAATGTATATGGGCACTTTCCATACTGACTGAGAGTTTGGAAACTAAAATACCTAACATTTTGTTATGATGATTTAAATTTTGTTTGTTAATTTAAAAATAATTAAATTTAAATGTCTTCAATTAATTTACATGAAGATTTTTTGATATAATGAATTCTGAATTCCTGATCCATGCAAATGGTGTGAGATAATAAATTATTATTGTTTTAAGATACCTAGTTTTGAAGTAATTTGTTATGTAGCACTAGATAACTGATAACATGAATCACTCATCTAAGGAGTCTCTAATTCCTGAAATGTCCCTCTCAAAACAAGGTTAAGGGTCTTGGAGGTGTGACTTGGTGGTAGAATCCATGGTTAGCATGAGCAAAGGCTTGGGTGTAATTCCTAGTACTTCAAATAAGCAAAAGGTTAAAACTAAATCATGCTAATATTAATTTGTTAATTTAACCACCATTATCATCGACTATTGCTTTTCTTCTTTTTTAAAAAAAATATATATGTACTTGTAGATGGATAGAGTACTTTATTTATTTATTTATTTGAGAGAGAGAGAGAGAGGGAGAGAGAGGGAATA